ATATTTCAAAACATCATGTTGTATGATACATATATACAATTTTTGTCAATTAAAAGTAAATAAATAAATACGTAATAATAAAAAGAACAAGATGAGAGAACATATCAGGTATCAAGACTTATGAAGCCAAAAAACCATCAGAATAGAGACAAGAAGTGCCCAGGAAAATATGAAAATTTTATAATGATAGAGCTGAATTGCAACGAATCCTCCCACCCATTAAAATATAATTTTTAACAATATATTCATAAAAATAAAAGATCAAAATTTATATCACATTTCTATTGCTTGGTTTAATTGTGTACCAATAAGTATAAGTATAATTCAGTCCAGAAAAAAATTTTAACATGTAAAACCTTATGAACATAGGGAATTAAAACAAATTTTAATTCATTAAAAAAAACTTTTGCAGCAAAATGATAGAGTGATCAATAAAAAATTTTGAAGCATAAAATTATGATATATCAGGAAAACATTCTAGGGCTATATGGGATAGAAATAAGAGCTAACAGACAAAAAGAAAACTTTTTGAGAATAAATAGAGTTTGTGCATGAATTTTCTTTTAAATAGATGACTGTGGGTATAAACAACTACAGTACTTAGATTCCACTAGTCATGCTTTAAAAAAGATATATAATAGTTCTCTCTTTTTTTCTTTTCTTTTTTTTTTTCTTGCTCTGTTGCTCAGGCTGGAGTGCAGTGGTATGTCATTGAAAAAGTCTTATTTAAAAAAGAAAAGTATTTATGAATCCAATGATTATAGTCATTGAAACCCAACAAAACACCAACCAAAAGAAAGCTGGCATAATTACATCATCAGACTAAGCTGATTTTGAGAAAAAAAACAGCCTAAAGATAAAGAGATTCGATATCCTGTAAGAATATAACAATTATAAAATTGTATATATTTAATAATAATACATTTTCATGATATGTAAAACAAAAACTAACAGAACTAAAAGGGAAAAATTTTAAAACACCTCTTTCAGCAACTGACAATAAAAGATGTCAAGAAATGAGTGAAGAAATAGAAAATTTGAAAACATGATTAACAACCTTGACCTAACTGACATATGGAAAGCATTGCACTCAGTTACTGCAGAACATATATGCTTCTAAACAGATGGGGAACATTTAATTGGCCATATGCTAGGTATATGGCCAAAGGATTAATATCATACAGAATGTCTCCAAACTCACTAGAATTAAGTTAAAAGTCAGTAACCAAAAGGGAACTATATAACTAGAAACTGTTTTGAAATTTAAAAAGTTTTAAAAAAGGGTCAGGGAAGCAACCACATGGAAATATTATATATTAAGTGATAATTAATATAAGACCTATAGAATTTTATTACTATGATTTACTTTGTGAACATTTATTGTGTATACATCTATGAAATAAAAAAATATCAGCCAGGCTCGGTGGCTCAGCTCGTAATCCCGTGCCTTTGGGAGGTTGAGGTGAGTGGATTGCCTGAGCCCGAGGGTTCAAGACCTGCCTGGGCAACTTGGCGAGACCTCATCTCTACAATAAATCAAAAATTAG